CCTGGGACTGAATGTGTGGATCAGAGAGGTCAACATCAGCCTCAGTCATCATCCTGAAAACGGTGTTCCGCCTTAAAACTGAACAGAAATCAGGTCAGAGAAAAGGCTCATGTTCTTAAAGCCTTTTTTTACTTATCAGTAGTCACCTTGATGGCAGATGAAGGGCAACTTATTTCCACAATCATGTGGAATCCACTCGTGGTCTGTACTTTCTATAACACAGTGTCGTTGACCATAATAGTAGTGATCCTTGTAGGTGGGGTGCCAGTTCCTGAAGGAGCTTTGGCTCCGGTCAGACCAATGCCAGGGGTTCCTGTACAGACCGATCCAATACCAACCAGTGCCCGGTGTTGCATTGATGGCCTCAGTGTTTTCTGCCTCATTCTCAATCATGGCCAAGTCGGTGAAGTTCTCCCTGCAGTGCTGCTGAGCAGACTGCCATTTTTTCTTGGTTGGGATGTGGAAATAGTTTTTCTTGTTGTTCTCTGAAACTGCAGCAGAAAATAACCCACAGTGAGTTCAGTTACTCCTCTCAGATATTAACAACAGATGCTCAGAGCTTGGATCCCGTTTAGCTGAATGAGAGGCTACATGAGCACACTAACTTAAATCTATTATCTGGTCAAACTACAGTACTTAATTTGAGCTTGAAGTTTTCTAACTCCTCACTGGCTGCTCAGATCTGGAGAAAAAACACCTTAGAAATCAGGAAAAAAGGGAGTGGTTACATTTTTCTGCAGGACCTCATTTTTCATGCTTTAGGTTTGGAATAAACAAAAGAAACATAAAATGGCTCACAAGCTCTTTATCGCTTTTCATTTTTTAAAATCAATAAAGTGTCATATTACCGTTGTAGCAGATGAATCCTCTGGTCCATACACAGAGCAGATTAGCCCATAGTCCATCATTAAGCATGATTACACATGTTTCCTTTGAATTGCCATCATTTGGTTCTCCAGGGTGCCAGTTCTGGTACCCGGTTCTGCTGGTTTCTCCTGTTGCTGACCACCTCCAAGAGTTGGTGTCATTACCCATGGAGGTTTTCCAGTTTTCAGGGTCATCCCAGAGTCCGATCCAGGCCCGGGAATAAGAGAAATCAGCTTTCAGCCTGCTGAGGTCTTCCATGCTGTCAAAGGTGGCCAGGTCGGTGTATTTCTCTCTGCAGAACTGTCGGGCTTCGGTCCAGTTCATTTCTGTGGGAACATAGTGGTACTGACGAGGGGGGGGCTGTGAGCAGTAGCTGAGGGGAAGTCCTGTGTATTGATGGAGGGGAAAAGTTTTAGATTAGTGGATCATTTAAATTTGGTATTCACTGATGTCCCTTCTATGTAGTGACTTTATTTTTCCAAAAAAATATCAAATCTCTGAGCTGAGCGACGCTTCTAAGAAGTATTTTACCTCTTATCAAAGACTGAAACATCATATTTTAAGATTATTTGGTGTTTTAACACCTGTGATAAGTTCCAATGACAAAAAACATTTAAAAGCAAAAAAATCTTTTTAATATGCAGTGTTTAAATTTAAAAGTCTCACCCAAATGGAGCAATGCTGCTAGCATCAAGAGCCGATCCATTTTCACTGCAAACAAGAAGAAAATTTCACTCAAAACAAGACGTGAAGCCTCTGCATGTCTTTGCAAATGAGCCTAAAGTATCTCAAATTGAGTTTTCCATAGCTAAAAGGACCTCACAGCCACTAAAAGAAAATAAAACAGAAGGAAAAATGAAATCATCCCATGATCCACTTGAAAAAATAACATTTGCAGTTATTTATTAAACTGAGTCCAAAAGTAATGAAAGCCCATTTTTTCTTTTAATTCTTGGTTTCCTTTTGCTTAACAACCCTATGCACATGTAAACCAACAATAAAGAAACTGCATACTGCTTTACTTATCTGTGGTTTTCATCACTAATTCAGATTTTTTGACCAATTCATAATTCTTCATCATGATGTCTGACAAATCAAACTCAGCCTGACTCAACATGAAGCCGTCGGCCTGCCCCAGCTCACTTCTGTCTTTAAATTTGTTTTTACCTTTCAGATTTGTCCTGCTGTGAGTTTCCTTCTCTTTCAGCCACTTAGAAAAGGTTTACTGCTGCAGAACCCACCGGATACCAACCCTGGAAGTCTTGAAGCGTACTTACTGAGCAGAGCCGCTGGAAGCTGGAAATCGAATGAGTTATTGATGTTCAGTCGACTGTTCTATATCAAAAATTCTTTGATACATTTTCATATGCAAAGTTTGTCTGGGGAAAGTCATACTTTCCGTGTTTAGGATTACAGGTTTGTCTTTGTGAAGCTGACAACAGTCGGGGGAAAAAAGGGGAATTTTTCTTCCATTTCCTATGTAAATGATCATACTAAACATACTAATATGCACTCACTCTTTCCTGTTCTGTTCATCCAACATCACACCTGTCATGTACTGTATCTGTTTGGATTATGTGGGGGTTTGCACCATCACTTCACAGCCAGAGGGTTCTGGGTTAGAGTCCCGGGGGGAACCAGGACCTTTATGTGTGGAGTTTGCATGTTCTCCCTGTGTCTGCGTGGGTTCCCTCCAGCTTTTAGACACGAGAATATAGAAGATGTTGAAAATATCAGTGTT